AATGATGAACTGATACGAAATATTACCATATAAATACATTAACATACTAACAGCACCTTTCAAAGCAGGTAAAACTTCTGACCTAGAAAATGTACAGAGAACCTTCACGGCACACATAAGTGCGATAAAACACCTAAATTATTGGGAACGTTTGAAGTTCCTCGACATGTACTCCCTGGAACGCAGGGAGGAGAGATACATGATTTTATACGCTTGCATACGATGTAACATCCCCCCAATGAAAAGCAGGGACGCCACAAGCACGATAAGAGAGAACACAATAAGTGTCAGGGGCCCAAGACTGTTCAACTCCCTTTCAGCATACATAAGGGGGATTACCAATAGACCCCTGGCTGTCTTCATGAAGGCTTTGGACAGGCACCTAAAGTCAATACCTGTGGAAAATACTGTATATATTTTCCAGAAATTCAGTATTTATATGTAAATAGATGGCCATACTGTATTTAATAGTATTTGTCATAGAAAACGGAAAGCCTGCGTCTGCGCAGAGGGGACTCGCCATCTTGGTTTTGAATTTTGTACAAACGTTGGTGTAATGGGAAGAATTTTTCGTGCCCTAGAGGTTAAAATTGTGTTGACACCTCTCAAGTAAGAGGCGAAATTGGTGGATGTGCATTCCTGCATAACTTGAGATATAAGACGACTGGACAAGACAGCTCCAGGAACCTCAGATAAGCTCTCTAGATTTGTGTGTAATTCTGGCCAGCATTATTTTCATAGATTTAGTAAGAGTGAGGTTTTTCTGAGTATGATACACATTAATCTCCAGTCAAATTGGTGAGTGATATTAAGATATATTTTCCTTCTGTTATGTAATTGTGTATATATATAACCATTTAATATTTTTAATATACAGTCCACAAATTTATATATTTACCAGTATTCCTGGTGTATGTATATTTCATTTAATTAATAGGTCCAGAGCAACTTGTGGTTATGACAGTGGTAGGTATCGAAGGGGGACATTTTTTGCGACCTAGGTGTCCCAAATTCCTACTTGTCTAAGTAACATTGATAAATAATAATTATCTTTGTTATCATTTACTGTTATGTACATAATTAGTTACATTCAGATAAATGCAATTTTCCACAATACCTGACCAGCCGGGCTGTGGTCCGTACGTTGGTATACGTGCGGCCAACAGTAATAACCTGGTTGGTCAGGCCCTGATCCACAATGTGGACTGGTCACAGACCGGCCTGCGGGGGCATTGACCCCCGAAACACTCTCCAGGTATCTCCAGGTATACACAATTTTTCGCTTGCTTAATTCGGCAAGAAGAACGTTGCTGTTTAAGCCAAAATCTCAAGTTTTACCTATTCGGCCCGATATATATATATATATATATATATATATATATATATATATATATATATATATATATATATATAAATATATAATATATATATATATATATATATATATATATATATATATATATATATATATATATATTATATATATATATATATATATATATATATATATATATATATATATATATATATATATATATATATGCAATAAGATCACAGTAAACAGGTGATTTGAGGATATACAAAACAACCACTGTGAAAGAATAATAAAATTCCAAGCGCTTTCGTGACTACTCACATTATCAAGGAACAATAAAAGTAATGCATCAAAGGAAGGCATATAAAGGGTCTTGACCACACCTCACCATCACATCCCACAACAAAGCAACACCTGATGTGCGACTCATAAGAAAGAGAACACTGCAGCAGGCCTGCTGGCCCAACTAGACAGGTCCTTTTCGGCAACCCACAAACAAACTATCTAGCCAAGAATTAAGATTTATTATTTGTCCAATGTATTATCAAATTCTTGCTAAATTCTATTAATTATAAATGGATCTAATTTATATAAACCAAAGGAAATATTCATATTATTGTCAAAACTGCTTTTTATGAAACAAGATTCAGTTATATTCCTGTCGACCATGGACTTGCTTGATACTACTTTCTCAACTTTTTGAAAATCAATTGGATGATTAAAATCTCTTACATGAATAAATAGAGCATTGGAATCTTGTCCAGTTCTAATGCTATATTTATGTTGTTTTAATCTTAGTTCGAGATTTTTACCAGATTGACCGTAATAAAATTTATCGTAAATTTTACAAGGAATCTTATAGACACATCCGTCAGCGTTTTGGGGTGAATTCTTTATCAAAAGTTTTTTGACTATATCAAGATTTTTAAACACAACTTTGATATTAAAAGTCTTAAGAAGAGAAGGTATATCAACCAAGTTTTCATGGTAAGGGAGAACCAACATATTTTTAGTTGAATAAGGCTGGTTGTCCCTTTTTGAATTGTGAAAAGTATTTCTAGCAATTTTAAAAGATTTATCAATTACGTTTCTTGGGTATTTCAAATCATTAGCTATTTCATAAATTTTGGATATTTCCTCATCTATGAACTCTGGACTACAAATTCGTAAAGCTCTCAAAAACATTGATGAGAAAACAGACAGTTTGACTCTATCTTGATGCGAAGAATAATAGTGGATATAGGAACAGTTATTTGTAGGTTTTCTGTAAATTTTAAATTTGAATTCATTATTACGCTTAATAATTAAAACATCTAGAAAAGGCAATGAGTTATTTTCCTCAAACTCAACAGGAAATGGTGTATATCTACATTCTTGGGCATAAGACACAAATATCTTCAACATATCTGAACCATATATATACATATATATATATATATATATATATATATATATATATATATATATATATATATATATATATATATATATATATAATATATATAATATATATATATATATATATATATATATATATTATATATATATAATATATATATACAATAAGATCACAGTAAACAGGTGATTTCAGAATATGCAAAACAACCACTGTGAAAGAATAGAGAAGTTCCAAGCGCTTTCGTGACTACTCACATTATCAAGGAACAATGATAATGTGAGTAGTCACGAAAGCGCTTGGAACTTCTGTATTCTTTCACAGTGGTTGTTTTGCATATATATATATATTTATAATATATATATATATATATATATATATATATATATATATATATATATATATATATATAATATATATATATATATATATATATATAATATATATATATGCAAGAAAAGTCACGGTGGTGGAAATCTTAAGCTCAAGTACTTTCACAATTCTCAGTGCGTCATCTGGAGCTGTGCTATGTTGCAAGGGCAGCAACAGGAGAAATGCTGGAAAGTTTTTCAGAGTACAATAGTGTGGGTGGCATCAGCCAGTACCTGAACCGGTCAACCCCAACACCCTACCCCATTTGTGGTCGGGTGGGGTATGTCTCACAGTTTGCAGATAGAATGGAGAAGAGTAACTATTATATTACTAACAACCTAATTCAATATACCACTAAACTAGTTGCAATCACCATGTTGCAATCAACTATATGTACCTTGTGTACCTTGTACCGCTGTACCTACACGGATTAAGACGTCAATAGATCACTCTACCTGTCTTATGGGTTATCCTGGGAAGATCACACTTGTGCACCTATATCTAAATGAACTCCCATGACAACTTCGTTATTACTGATGTTATATTAGTCAGGTTGCAGTCTGTATTGCAGCACATCACCTAGAACACCTGTAGCATTACGATACCTGTATGCAGTAGTAGCTGAGTGGGTTATATCGACGGTCATGGCAGATCTAACATGTTAAATATCTACGTTAGCGACGAACTTAACAAGATGTTATATATTATATCGACGTTCACGACAGACGTACCATGATGTTCAGTTTGCAGACTCTGGTTGAACATAACAAAAACATCACGAAACCAACTGGCATAAGGAACAATCCTGCTCTTTTGTATAACATTGTCGTTTAAGGCTGTGCACAACGGACTCCAGGGCTGGGCATGGGAACGCAGGATCGAGTCCTGGCCAGCCGCGGTTCTGTTAATGATTCAAAATCAGTTGTTTCGTGATTTATTTAATATATAGACTGCTCGTGAAGGCTGGTACCCAAAACAGGATGAAGTTGAAATTAGTCTCTCACGCTCCACGACTAATGTATATATGTATATATAACAGGGTTAACAGGTCACAGGAATATGTTGCGATATTTTATTCACTACCACAAAATTCAGAGACGCGAGACTCATTTAAACATTTATACCTCTCAGTAAATGGAGAATTTATACATCACCTCTCGGTGAAGGAGAATTTATACATCGCCTCTCGGTGAAGGAGAATTTATACCTCACCTCTCAGTGAAGGAGAATTTATATCTCACCTTGTAGTGAAGGAGAATTTATACATCACCTCTCAGTGAAGGAGAATTTATATCTCACCTTGTAGTGAAGGAGAATTTATACATCACCTCATAGTGAAGGAGAATTTATACATTACTTCTCAGTGAAGAAGAATTTATACCTTGCCTCTCAGTGAAGGAGAATTTATACCTCACTGCAGTAAAGGAAGATTTATACATCATCTTGCAGTGAAGGAGAATTTATACATCACCTCGCGATGAAGGATTAAACATTTAATGATCTTTTAATTCTTTGTAAATACACCATTCAAAATGCACTGTATGTATCTATAATATTTGCCAGTGTCAATTTTAGTTTGAAGAATACATCACGAAGGTGAATACAATATTTCTTGTGAAATATTCATAACACAACACTTCTAGTGTTGAATGTTTAGTCAAATAATGATATAATAAGTCCTTCATATGAATTAATGAGTGTACATCGAAGGGAGAATTATAGGGAGGAATTTGATTTTCACACTCGTAAATAAATATTCCAAAATTCATTGTTCTTATGTTCACTCACTGGATGAGTAAGTGGGGGGATCATTAGCTGCAGTATTACAGAAAATGTGCTTCGGCCATGAGACTCAAGATGGCTGCTATTAGTATCTGAGCTGAAACAAAGAATTAAATTATTTTTCTACCATTTCAGCTGTGAAATGTTTGCGGTGTGTGGTTGGAGTGTAGTGTTGCTGTTGCTGTGGTACTGTGGCGTCACACCGGGCCTACAACCCAGTGCTCGACTAATACAGTCACCGTCGGGGAATATTTTCATGATGGAGAACACTACTTTCCTCCCAGCTAATGCTTTTCTTATCCTTCCAAGCACCGGCGTCTGTAAGTACTCAATGGTGCTGTCATATTACTGAACACGCAAACAAGTAGGTACACACTCACCAGGTAACAAGGATAGGTGTGAAAGATGAGGTAGAGAATAACTGTGAAGAAAGAATCGTTTGGGTAGGGAAAACAGACAGGTGAAAGCCCCCAAGGGGTACTGACTATTCCTTGCACTGTACACACAGTAGTTACATAAACCCTCTGTAAGGAAAAGGGAATAAACTTAGCCTTATCAGCGTTTGTTTATCACGAGAATTTAATCAGGACGCGTAAATATGCAACATTGGTCTAGTAAGTTAAAGTGAAGAATAAGTTTCCAGTACTAAGGTGCCAATTGAGGCGCTTATGAGAATGTAATTTGAAGATAATACGTAACACAGGAAAACACTAACTGGGTGAAAAATAACTCCGACAGTCGGGTAAAGAAATGATTTGCATTTTATCAGAATGAATCCTTCTACAAAGACAAAACAGAACTGGATAACATCTGTAACATATGCAAGGTTGGCTCTGAGAATCCTGAACAATGTAACATTCTGGATGTTATACACACATAAAACAGTTATCCAGTAAGTGGCACCACCATGAACTCCTCGTCTAGTCTAACAGCAAAAGAAGTTTAAGAAAGTTCAAATATTTGGCATCAGATTAATCACGAAGCTGAAAGATTTGAGCTATAATGGAAAACTGAAGAGCCTGAACCTTATTTTATCGTAGAAGAAGAGGTTCAAGAGATATAGGATCACATAAGATATTCAAGGATAGTGTCAAGGTAGATAGAATATTTGAACTGGAAGGGACGAGAATGAGAGAAAAAGATGAAAGCTTAATTCCCACGAGCAGGACATAATAAAAAAAGGAATGTAATGAAGAGAAAGTGGAGAAGACCTGAATACAATGATAGAAGAGCAGGTACATTACTGTACTACTAGAGTTACTAGATCTTCTGGAGTAATAAGATTTTATTTTGGATAATGAGAAAAGTATTAATGACCTACAGGGTTATTTGTGTATTGTTCCGTCACGGTATTCCTAACAAGGCATATTAATAATGATTGTCGGATTCTGTTCTTTCTTCATCTCAAAGTTTGTGTACAATACATTGAGAACGCCTCATATAATGTGTCAAATTTTCATCTTTAGTGTTCATAACAAACTCGAAAACAAGTTTTATGTAGATGAATGGTTCAGAGAACCGACAAGTTGATTAATTAGACACATGTGAAACACTTGGGTATCTTTATTGAGGAAACGTTTCGCCACACAGTGGCTTCATCAGTCCATACAAAGGAGAACATTGAAGAACAGGAGGAGTTTGAGGTAATCAGTCCCTCAGCCTTGAGTCGATGTGGTCAGTCCATCAATCTTGAAAAGAATACAACATATGTGTGTAGAAGTAGCTTATATCAATGTTCTCCTTTGTATGGACTGATGAAGCCACTGTGTGGCGACACGTTTCCTCAATAAAGATACTCAGATGTTGCACATGTGTCTAATTTATCAACAACTTTCATGTTGTTATTGAGTGTCAGTTTCCAATTTCACAAATCTAAATGAAAACAGCCCTAGAATTTGATTACCAAAGAACGCCTCCTCTGATCGGGTTTAAACTTCCAACACTGGTGTATCTTACTTAGATGAAGATTCGCTTTATTAGTACACCGCATAGGTTACCTGAAGATAATTCCACAAGTCAAGGCCCCGTAGCGCAGTTAAGATAAGATTTGTTAGGGTTTTTAACCCGGAGTGTTAGCTACCCAGTATTACCCAAGAAAGTCAGTGCTTCATCGAGGACTCTCTCTCTTATTTCCATTGAGGTCCTTAAATCTTGTCCCCCAAGATGCGACTCACAACAGTCGACTAACACCCAGATACCTACTTACTGCTAGGACAACAGGAACAGCAGGTATAAGGAAACACGCACAGCATTTCCTCCTGTGTCGGGCATCGAACCATGGACACTCAGTGTGTAAGGTGAGAGCGTTGCCAACCAAGCCACGGGTCACTAGACCTGGTTGATGGCCTGATCATCTGCATTCCGCTTTTTATTAGAAGCATTTTGCACTTTCCAGCGAGCTTCTTGCTCTCATAGTTTCCAATTTCATTTTTATAAAATTTAGTTTTTTCCTGTGATACCTTGAGAATGCCTCTTGTGGAAGGATTCAAACTCTAAAGGCGAATTAATTTTACTCAAAGAAAGATTTACATTATTATTGGGCTGTATAAGTAATAATATGTAATTTTTTAGTAACCCATTTTTAATAATGGTTTCCATGGATTAACTTGTAATTACTAACTTGATTGTGTTTAAAATGTCAGCAGTGGTGCATCGTACTTGCAGAAAGATTTAAATTGATTATTCAAATTAAGATATTGCTTTATGTTTAATAGCTTTTGGATACTCCTGTCTATGTTGGCTTCAAAGTTGATGTTAGAGTTGATGCACAACCTGAGGTAGACATCCCCTGATTGCCATACACCAGCCCCCTCTACCTTAGTGCCTTCAAGAGGGAGTGTAGCAGTCCCTCATGTACCTCAAGAGGCAGAGTAGCTGTAGCTCAACCCTCTATAAGGTTCTGAACTAAAGATCAACACCTACGCGAGGTCCAGGAGCCTTAGTTCAACCTACTCAAAAAGCTAAGTCAGCGGAAGGAATTGGTCAGGTGACCAAAAACGCCCAGGAGCTGCAGATCATAGCGCTCAGGAGGGAGAGAAGCTTGAACTCACCCAGTTAAACCTAAGAACATAAGGAAGGAGGAACACTGCAGCAGGACTACTGGCCCATACTAGGTAGGTCCTTCTCAAACCAAAACCCACTAACAGAAATATTTGCTCAACTTATTCTCGATGCTACCCAAGGAACAAGTTTTAAAAACTCTATCAACTCATTGTCAAATATTTATTTTTACTTCGACCTTGAGTCAGTTACATATTAATTTTTTAATAAAAATTGGAATGTGGTATCTACAAACACTAAAAAAAAATTGTTGTGTTTATGACACTACGACGCAAGTAGCATAATGAATGTGTTACTGATAAAAACTTTTTGATGTTAAAGTGAAGTGAGTTACATCAACACGTACATCAACACCCCCAGAGATGTTGATGTACAGCACCTGGATCGTTTAAGTGTGTTCAGCTATAACTCCTGAATCAATTTAAGGTTCTGATCTCCAGCTCCTGTATATCTTGAGAGGGTTGAACTATAGCTTTTGGGTCTCTTGAGGGAATTTAGTTGTAGTTCCTCTAACGTTTGAGGTTTGATAGGTTCAGCTGCTACAACTCTTATGTGCACCGAGGTTCAGGGGTCTGAGGTCAGGGGATACTGGGTATACCTCACTCTGGTAGTACAAAGCAAGGAAGATATTTAGTTAAAGTAAAGAACTTGTACAAACCCTTCGTATGTTCATATTCTTACTAAACAGGCATGTGTAAGAACCAGTGCATGGCGACAGGAAATTGCAGTGCATGGTCTCTAGTGCAGAATGTTGGAGGTGGGAGCGAGTGTAGACTTGCTAGAGGAGGACCCACCACGTACCCCACCATCAACGCCACCAACGCCACCTACTTCTACAGGCAAGGTCAGAGAGATAGACAGAAACAGAGACAGTGAACGAATTTTAATCACCCATGATACATAAACCACTAGCTTAAAGCATATGCAGTAACTATGTCAGCAAACTACAATAACAACATATTTCAAGATAAAATTTTAGAAAATAATTTGTAAACTGCCTTCATTGCAAGTTGCTTAGAACAAGTGAGGCTGAATTTGTTCATGATACCGAGGCTGGTTGTTGCCAGGTTAATGCTATCAATATATTATAACTTAAAATTTCCTCTCCTTCTATCCACATACTTTTCCTCTCTCGTCCATATATAATTTTCGTTGTTCCTCTCTGCACCGATGGAGAAATCTTCATAAAAATTCTATTTATCCAGGGTATGGAACAGGCCATCTTGAGGAACGGTAATTCCCAAGCTGTAGAAACTTCTATATTTAAACGGAAACTTCGAAGCTCCGGTAGCTGATGAATCCTTAATGGAATACTTGACATCGTCATTACCCTACTGAAGTGTGGCAGTTCAGACTGAAAGATTCTAACATTATGTTTGTGACTTATCCTGAAAGATGGAATATGACAATAAAACACAGTTAACTTTTGTTCCCACTACATAACTATCATATAGAATAGGTTAATAACCCATTGCTGGAGTTATTGTCATATTCCATCTTTCAGGATAAGTCACAAACATAATGTTAGAATCTTTTAGCCTGAACTGCCACACTTCAGTAGGGTAATGACGATGTCAGGTATTCCATTAAGGATTCATCAGCTACCGGAGCTTTGAAGTTTCCGTTCCAATACAGAAAGTGTTTCTTTTATTTGGGAATTAATTTTTACGATAATTTCTCCATCTGTGCAGAGAGGAACAACGAAAATTATATATGGACGAGAGAGGAAAAGTATGTGGATAGAAGGAGAGGAAATTTTAAGTTATAATATATTGATAGCATTAACCTGGCAACAACCAGCCTCGGTATCATGAACAAATTCAGCCTCACTTGTTCTAAGCAACTTGCAATGAAGGCAGTTTACAAATTATTTTCTAAAATTTTATCTTGAAATATGTTGTTGCTGTAGTTTGCTGACATAGTTACTGCATATGCTTTAAGCTAGTGGTTTATGTATCATGGGTGATTAAAATTCGTTCACTGTCTCTGTTTCTGTACCTCTGTAACTTGCTCAGCTATCAAAACTTTGAGGCCCAGTCCCTGGACCCATTATGTACCTCTGTAATCTTTTGACTACCGCCCACAGGATGGGTATGGGGTGCATAATAAACATATTAAACTAACTAACTGCTGGAGTATCCAATTTCTCACAATGAAACAAAAATTGTTATACCATAGGATTTCCTCTCATCATAGGATGGTCCTTGAGAAAACTCTTCTATAACCTTCCTATAGAGAGCTACATATGTATAACTAAATACTTTGAGAGATTATTTAAATGACAGACACGTTGTTGCTAAGACATTCCCATCAGCTCCCAACGACAACCTGTGTTTCAACAGCGTAGACATACACTTCTGCCTCTCATTATGCTTCATCTATTCCAGACTTTACGGTAGAACACCAAGAATCCTTCAAGCAACTGTGACAAGATCAGCTCACCATGACTTGTAATAACTCTTTCTCTCATGCCATCCTTGTTACCTAGTAGAAGCAGCACCTTATGTCATCCATGTTACCTAGTAGATGAAGCACCTTATGTCATCCATGTTACCTAGTAGATGTAGTAAGTTATGCAAAATACGGTATTTAGTAATTGTGATGCTGTCTTCATGATATCTCTGCTCTCTGGTAGGTGTACCAACCTTGTTCATGTCATCTCTGCTCTCTGGTAGGTGTACCAACCTTGTTCATGTCATCTCTGCTCTCTGGTAGGTGTACCAACCTTGTTCATGTCATCTCTGCTCTCTGGTAGGTGTACCAACTTTGGTCATGTCATCTCTACTCTCTGGTAGGTGTACCAACTTTGTTTATGTCATCTCTGCTCTCTGGTAGGTGTACCAACTTTGTTTATGTCATCTCTGCTCTCTGGTAGGCGTACCAACTTTGTTTATGTCATCTCTGCTCTCTGGTAGGTGTACCAACTCTGTTCATGTCATCTCTGCTCTCTGGTAGGTGTACCAACTCTGTTCATGTCATCTCTGCTCTTTGGTAGGTGTACCAACTTTGTTCATGTCATCTCTGCTCTCTGGTAGGTGTACCAACCCTGTTCATGTCATCTCTGCTCTCTGGTAGGTGTACCAACTCTGTTCATGTCATCTCTGCTCTCTGGTAGGTGTACCAACTCTGTTCATGTCATTTCTGCTCTCTGGTAGGTGTACCAACTTTGCCCATGTCAACTCTGCTCTCTGGTAGGTGTACCAACTTTCTTCATGTCATCTCTGCTCTCTGGTAGGTGTACCAACTTTGTTCATGTCATCTCTGCTCTCTGGTAGGCGTACCAACTTGGTTCATGTCATCTTTGCTCTCTGGTAGGTGTACCAACTTTGTTCATGTTCTCTCTGCTCTCTGGTAGGTGTACCAACTTTGTTCATGTCATCTCTGCTCTCTGGTAGGTGTACCAACTTTGGTCATGTCATCTCTACTCTCTGGTAGGTGTACCAACTCTGTTCATGTCATCTCTGCTCTCTGGTAGGTGTACCAACCCTGTTCATGTCATCTCTGCTCTCTGGTAGGTGTACCAACTCTTTTTTTATGTCATCTCTGCTCTCTGGTAGGTGTACCAACTTTGTTTATGTCATCTCTGCTCTCTGGTAGGTGTACCAACTTTGTTTATGTCATCTCTGCTCTCTGGTAGGTGTACCAACTCTGTTCATGTCATCTCTGCTCTCTGGTAGGTGTACCAACTCTGTTCATGTCATCTCTGCTCTCTGGTAGGTGTACCAACTTTGTTCATGTCATCTCTGCTCTCTGGTAGGTGTACCAACCCTGTTCATGTCATCTCTGCTCTCTGGTAGGTGTACCAACTCTGTTCATGTCATCTCTACTCTCTGGTAGGTGTACCAACTCTGTTCATGTCATTTCTGCTCTCTGGTAGGTGTACCAACTTTGCCCATGTCAACTCTGCTCTCTGGTAGGTGTACCAACTTTGTTCATGTCATCTCTGCTCTCTGGTAGGCGTACCAACTTGGTTCATGTCATCTTTGCTCTCTGGTAGGTGTACCAACTTTGTTCATGTTCTCTCTGCTCTCTGGTAGGTGTACCAACTTTGTTCATGTCATCTCTGCTCTCTGGTAGGTGTACCAACTTTGGTCATGTCATCTCTACTCTCTGGTAGGTGTACCAACTCTGTTCATGTCATCTCTGCTCTCTGGTAGGTGTACCAACCCTGTTCATGTCATCTCTGCTCTCTGGTAGGTGTACCAACTCTTTTTATGTCATCTCTGCTCTCTGGTAGGTGTACCAACTTTGTTTATGTCATCTCTGCTCTCTGGTAGGTGTACCAACTTTGTTTATGTCATCTCTGCTCTCTGGTAGGTGTATCAACTTTGTTTATGTCATCTCTGCTCTCTGGTAGGTGTACCAACTCTGTTCATGTCATCTCTGCTCTATGGTAGGTGTACCAACTCTGTTCATGTCATCTCTGCTCTCTGGTAGGTGTACCAACTTTGTTTATGTCATCTCTGCTCTCTGGTAGGTGTACCAACCCTGTTCATGTCATCTCTGCTCTCTGGTAGGTGTACCAACTCTGTTTATGTCATCTCTGCTCTCTGGTAGGTGTACCAACCCTGTTCATGTCATTTCTGCTCTCTGGTAGGTGTACCAACCTTGCCTATGTCAACTCTGCTCTCTGGTAGGTGTACCAACTTTCTTCGTGTCATCTCTGCTCTCTGGTAGGTGTACCAACTTTGTTCATGTCATCTCTGCTCTCTGGTAGGTGTACCAACTTGTTTCATGTCATCTTTGATCTCTGGTAGGTGTACCAACTTTGTTCATGTTCTCTCTGCTCTCTGGTAGGTGTACCAACTTTGTTCATGTCATCTCTGCTCTCTGGTAGGTGTACCAACTTTGTTCATGTTCTCTCTGCTCTCTGGTAGGTGTACCAACTTTGTTCATGTCATCTCTGCTCTCTGGTAGGTGTTTTCCATCTTTGTTCAAATCATCTCTGCTCTCTATTAGGTGTACCAACTTTTCGTGAAAGGACCAAATGAGAGGAAAGAACGGTAATGTGATTTTGTCCGAACGTCAAAGCATTTCATCTGGGTTGTTGGAGTAATTATAATCAATAAAGTTCGAAATCTGGTTCAAGTTTCCAAGGAGGAAATGTAATTCGGAGTAGTAGAGGTATATGAGGAGTGTGGGAGTAAGAAGGAAAGATGAGGGAATTGTAGGTGTTAGGCTGTGAATTATAGGTGTTAGTGGATTTGTGGAAGTGAGTTATAGGAGTGTGAGAGTGTAAGTATTAACTGTAGAAGAATGAGAGTTGATACAGGGTTGTGAGAGGGATTGTTAGTGGTGAGCGGAGTGGTAGGAATGAGGGGATTGTTAGTGGTGAGCAGAGTGGTAGGAGTGAGGGGATTGTTAGTGGTGAGCGGAGTGGTAGGAGTGAGGGGATTGTTAGTGGTGAGCGGAGTGGTAGGAGTGAGGGGATTGTTAGTGGTGAGCGGAGTGGTAGGAGTGAGGGGTTTGGGTGGGTGTGAATAATAATAATAATAATAATAATAATAATAATAATAATAATAATAATAATAAATTTATTTCTACAAGTACATGTACAAGGTACACAGTCCTAGCTGACATCAATGACATACTTATATATATGAAGCCCCTTGTTATGCAGAGCATTTCGGGCAAATTAGGTCAGTTTTGTCCCAGGATGCGACCCACACCAATCGACAAACACCCAGGTACCCGTTGTACTGATGGGTGAACACAGGCAGCAGGTGTCGTATAGGAACACATCTTAATGTTTCCACCCGTAAAAGGGAATCGTCCCCCGGAGATCAGTGCTTGAGTTAATTGCGCTAGTGATCGAGCTACGAAAGTCTATTTGTAGGAGTGTAAGAGTGAATTATACGGATTGAAAAGTAAGATATAATTGTGGGAGTATGAATGTAAGTTGGG